GCGCTTACATATACCACACTCTATTCCTCTAACCACTTTTTTCCCACATTCAATAGCCAAACAAGGTAAGGCAACCTCGGGCATGTAAATACAGGAAAAGGAAAAGATATGCAAGGAAAACTTTGGGTATACTCGGGAAACGTTCGTAAATAAAGCAACTAGTGACACCTGTATCGGGATTTAGATAAAATCCCGAGAAAAATAACCAAAAAAGGGAATAAAACTTTCACCTTATCTTACTGATACTTACTTAGTATACGGATTGTCAGTAAATTGTTATGAACAATTTATTGACAATACACACTGAAAATCGTTTTGGTAGTTCAAAGCAGTGAGGAACACAACCGAATACAAACGTACCGGCAAGGTCCGGTTAGGTTTGGTCAGTTCAGTTCTCAAACACTTCGAGTCAATAGTAGTTTCTGAAAGGCAGAATGTTAGTGTGCAGTATCAGATCCCTTACAGTGTTTCGGGAAGCAAACCCTGACGATTAACTTTCAACACTCAACTTCGGGAAATACCACTGCCCAGCATCCATTTAGCCTTCTCTTGAAAGATTCGACATTAATACAGTTAACCACTGCTTCAGGTAGTTTATTCCACAGGTGGTAAAGCTCTGTTTGTGAAGAACCTAGCTCGCAAATTTAGTCCATAAAGACTGCTTTCCAATCTAAGTTGATGCCCCTCGTGCCCCTGGCAGGAAAAAGAGAGAATATGTTCTGGAACGTTAGATCCGAATACACTTTTACAACCTTAATGTGTCTCTATAAGGTGGCTCCGCATGCGTCTGCGGGCCAGGGAGAACAGGTCCAGGTCCCTCAGTCGTTAGAGGTATCCCCTATCTTTCTGGTCTGCTACCATTCCCGTTGCCAAGCGCTGTATTTTCTCAAGACACCGCTTGAAAAATATGTTTAAATTAAGACGCTCAAGCTTTTACGTAATATTATAAATGAGGATGCACTATAGTTTTGTACAACGGTACAAAAACCTCGGGTCTTCTGCAACTTACCACAGCGCACAACCTGGAAAGTTCGTGTCGGGCTTTATTGGCCGCACGCTTGCACTGAAGGGATGGCCTGAAGTCATTGGTGATCATTACCCCTAGATCCTTTGCCTCAGAGAGATGCTGCAATTGCATCACACTTCTCTTGTCATCATTGGCCCCTGTGGTCAAGAGCTGAGACTTACCTAGATTCAGTGGCAGATCCCAATTATCCAACCACCTTCGAACTGCATCCAGATCCTGCTCCAGTCCTTCCCCAGATAACTTCACATCATCGGCGAACATGAAGCGAGAAATTTGGAGATCCTTCGAAAGGTCGTTAATAAAGATCAAAAATAATAACGGACCCAACACCGATCCCTGTGGGACACCACTCGATATTCCCTCGGGTTCGGTTGTATAATTTCCAAAACACACTTAATGTGCGACCGC